GAAATGATTGTAATTTCTCTCCTTTTTGTTTGGATAAGTAAGAAATAAAAGAAAAGAAATGATTGTGATTTCTCTCCTTCTTATTTGGTTAGATTTCATTAAGAGAAAAGAAAAGAAATTATTTTATGTTATATTACCAAAATAACCTTTTTATATTTTCAATCATTTTATTTCTTTTATTTTTATAGGGGTAAAATTGGTATTATAAAAATATAAACATTTGTGGATTTCTTTTCTCTCCCAATCTCTCCACTTTTGGGAAGATTGAAAATAAGGGTTATGAGAGAAATGCGTTTCTCTCCATTTCTCTCTATTTCTTCCGATTTCTCTCCACTTAAGATAACCAAACAAGGAAGAGAAATACATTTCTCTCTATTTCTTTTCTTTTCTCTCCAAATCACTCAATCCAAACACAGTGTAAGTGACCACCTCCTACAATTAATAGAGGTTTGTCACAATAAAAAATGCAATTTGATCAATAAATGAAATCTCAATTAAAAAAAATAAAAAATTAATCTATATAAAATGAATATGTTTTTATTTCAAAAATAAAATCCTAATTCCATTTTTGTTAAAAGAATTGACCAAATCACCTTTTTAAAACTATAAAAATATTTAAAAATAAAATAAAATTTTATAGTTTTAAATAACTTTATAGTATAGAATTTATTTTTTCTTCTATTTTTTGTAATTAAAATTCAGAATTATTCACAACTTTTATTTTTAGTTTTTTTTGAACAATGATATTTTTTTGTTTGTGTTCAGTCCACACCAAGTGGAGTGAATAATGCAGTTGGGCCCATAATTCAAATTTTTTATCTTGTACGTCCTTATGTTTTTACATTATTTACAAAAATATAAGATTGATATGATAATTATAATTATATGATTTTATTATATTTGTCTTTTAAAAAAATAATAATAAATATATTCTTGAAAATAGACCATTCACTTCAGAAGGTCAAATATGATAAAATTATGTTATGATTAACAAATTAATTTAAGACAAGTAAGATGGTTTTTGTTTTTTAGCTCTTATTTGTCCAATGACATTGACTTAATTAATAAAATACTGAACCCCATGAATAGTGGTAGTGTCTGATTAGATAAATAAACAATTAAATATTGTTTTGAGCGGCAGGCACTCCAGATGTCATTTTGTTGGGTTTCACAATTTTTTATTCCAAAACTCTCTAAGAAAGTTACTTCTTTGTGTTTTGTTTGATTGAGAGATTTGGGGAGAAATTTGAAAAAAAAAATGAAAAAGGTAGGTGAAATATGAATAAATCATGTCTATATTTCACATAATTTCATACATTTTTTCCCTTTTTCTTTCTAAATTCCTTCTTAAATTCCTCAACCAAACACAGTATAAAAGTATTTACTTTTAATCATCACTAAATAATAATAAATGTGTTTAGTTTTAATTTTTTTAATTTAATTTTAAAAAATTGGGTTTTTTTTTTAATATTTTATATTTTTAATGAATATTTTTAAAATTTTAAATACCATATTTCGCCCTTCTTTATATCTATTTTTATGTGTATTGACCCCGCAACTGATAAATGCCATATTTCACTTTCTTACTTTTTATTCTGCTTTTACTCAATCCATTTCATGACTCCTCTTTTTCTTTTGACTCTTATTTCATTTCTTTTTTAGATTCTCCCCTTCTTCGTCTTCTTCTTTTTGGCAACTCCATATCAGAACAATTATATTATGGTGATTACATTTTTATACCTAATTTTTTCTATCATGTTGATATCATTTTAATATTAGTTTTATGAGTTGTATCATCCATGTTGTTGCTAATGCAATAGTATATTATATTATATGATAAACAAAATGTGATAAACTCTTCTTCTTCTTTTTTTGTGTGTATATTTTGTGATTTTGATTTTTTGTATAGTGGTTACTACTTAACGCTATGTTTGGTAACTTAGGAGAGAAAAGAAAAGAAATGATTACTTAAGTAATAAGAGAAAAGAAAAGAAAAGAAATGATTGTAATTTCTCTCCTTTTTGTTTGGATAAGTAAGAAATAAAAGAAAAGAAATGATTGTGATTTCTCTCCTTCTTGTTTGGTTAGATTTCATTAAGAGAAAAGAAAAGAAATTATTTTATGTTATATTACCAAAATAACCTTTTTATATTTTCAATCATTTTATTTCTTTTATTTTTATAGGGGTAAAATTGGTATTATAAAAATATAAACATTTGTGGATTTCTTTTCTCTCCCAATCTCTCCACTTTTGGGAAGATTGAAAATAAGGGTTATGAGAGAAATGCGTTTCTCTCCATTTCTCTCTATTTCTTCCGATTTCTCTCCACTTAAGATAACCAAACAAGGAAGAGAAATACATTTCTCTCTATTTCTTTTCTTTTCTCTCCAAATCACTCAATCCAAACACAGTGTAAGTGACCACCTCCTACAATTAATAGAGGTTTGTCACAATAAAAAATGCAATTTGATCAATAAATGAAATCTCAATTAAAAAAAATAAAAAATTAATCTATATAAAATGAATATGTTTTTATTTCAAAAATAAAATCCTAATTCCATTTTTGTTAAAAGAATTGACCAAATCACCTTTTTAAAACTATAAAAATATTTAAAAATAAAATAAAATTTTATAGTTTTAAATAACTTTATAGTAAAGAATTTATTTTTTCTTCTATTTTTTGTAATTAAAATTCAGAATTATTCACAACTTTTATTTTTAGGTTTTTTTGAACAATGATATTTTTTTGTTTGTGTTCAGTCCACGCCAAGTGGAGTGAATAACGCAGTTGTGCCCATAATTCAAATTTTTTATCTTGTACGTCCTTATGTTTTTACGTTGTTTACAAAAATATAAGATTGATATGATAATTATAATTGTATGATTTTATTATATTTGTCTTTTAAAAAAATAATAATAAATATATTCTTGAAAATAGACCATTCATTTTTAAAGGTCAAATATGATAAAATTATGTTATGATTAACAAATTAATTTAAGGGGCAATTATAGCCCAATGAAGTTTGAAAAAATAATTACATATTAATAAAAAAAATTATAATTTTAATTATTAATATTTATAAATTTTATCACTAATTTGTATTTATTTTTATAGTATACTACTGATTTTATCTAAACATTGAACCATCAAATGAATAGTTTAAATTGTGGTGGGCCTCATGAGTATCGTCCAATCCACTTGAATAGATTTGGGATAAATTGCACTACCCCCTTCAATTATTATTCCTATCACTTTACCGCCTGAACTACATATTGTAATACTTAATTCCCCCTCATCTACTAAATTATTATTATTATTATTATTTTAAAGTTGGACCTTTGTTATGAAAATACACTTTTATCTATAAAAATTACATTTTATCTCCTTGAACTATCACTCAATATCACTTTACCCCTCAACTAAAAATTGTTACATGTTGCCACTTTGAATTATAAATTTGTATCAATGTTTCTTGAATAGATAAAAGAATTGACATATGACTTGCACATGACATCTCAAATCAAATGACTAAAGGCTAAAATGACACTATTAGTTTTTTTGATTTAGCGTTTAAAAATTACTTTTAGTTTTTTTTTTTTCATATTTTTTATTAAACTTTTTCATAGTTTAGTTATTTTATTTTATTTACTTTTTAGGTACATTTAATCTAGATGTATCTAAAAAGTAAAACACTTACAAAGAATCAAAATAAAAAATAAAAAATAAAAAATCATTAAAGATAAAAAAAAAATAAAAAAACCCGAAAATATACTAGTTGAGGAGTAAAGTGTGATTTGTCCATAAATTTGACAGAAGCTTATTCCTTACTATAAGGGGGGCCTTAGGTGACAACCTCAACATGCAAATGGTTGGGCGCCCTCCTAGTAGTTTAGAGCATAGCCAAATTTGTTGTAATTGAGATGAATAAGCAAAAGAGGGTTGTTATATATTACTCCATAAATTTCATCCATCTTTCACCTATTCACGCGACAAACGCTATGTATAATGTAGGATGTATTATAACCAAAAAATATTAGATTGATCTCACATGTAAAGATAGTGGTTGTTTTGCGAATCCATATAGAAAGTGAAAAAAATTGACAAATTCATCTAGATCTAGTGACAAGTACCATTTTTCACAAGAAAAAATAAAATATGGAGCTGTTTAGGCAGCCCATTGGAAGGGTGCAGGGACCCTGCTACCCAGGTTGGACAATTGTTGATTGAATTTCAAAATGTTGATGTATGCAACTAATAATGATAGTGATGATCATAAATGAGCATGACTTTCTTTTTTGTATGTTGCAACTGAATTTTATCTTGGATTTTGAATTTCTTTCTACTTAAAGGTTGTAGGAATTTTCAAGATGGTGGTTCTTCCAATCCTAGGCCAACTTGCTGATGAGTATGGGCGAAAACCACTGCTCATTCTCACTTTATCTACAACTATAGTCCCTTTTGGTATGTTTTATGTTTTCTATGAACATTTGTGCATGGACCAAAACTTTATGTTGAAGAATTCCAATTACATTTGATGTTGGTATCTGCATTTAGCTGTGAAAATTTCCTTTGGTACAAACTAGAGTGGTGATATTTGAAAGCTAAGAATCACAGATATTTCTATAGAAGAGGTTTGTCGTGTTGTACATGTATATCGGACATGACACTTGTGTATATTAATGTTCTACAATTATTTTCCATTTTTTATAATGCAATTGTTTCATGTTGTTACATGAATGATGATTTTTAAGTTATGGAATATATGGCATTTTAATTTTAACTAATGTTATGCTAATGTTATGTTGCTTTTATTTTACTTTTGAACAAATTATTAACGTGTCATAGGCGTATCATGTCCGGCATTTTTTTATTTTTTATTTTAAATCGTCATGTCGGCATGTTGCTTGTCCTTGTTTGTGCTACTTATGTTGAAAGTTACATGTCGGTTAGTTCTTTGTTAAGCTTAGTTCTTTATTTACATTTTCAACTGTTCCAACATACAAGCGCCATCTTAGACAGCCCTTAGCTCTAAAGAGACTCTAATTTAACTGAAAATTGAATCAAGAAAAAATTTCTTGAAAGTAAGACATGTTGCAGAGCTTCTGCCATCTCTTTATCATCATCATTCAGCCGAAGGACTGTGTCTGATAAGACATTTGTGGTTTCTAATTGATGCCAATTTTCAAGCTTCATGAGTGACACAAGATAATTGGCAGATGCAGCGCGGTCCAGATGTCAGGACAATATGCACAAAACATATGGTTTTCCTTCTCATGAACATTTTATGTGCCATAATGTGTTAATTAACTAACTTTAATTCAAGCGCCTGAAGTTAATGACTTGGTTTCAAAGAGTTTATGTTTTCAAATTGATCGATGATTATTTCCGGCTGGCACATGTGAGTATATTATGATGTGCGAATTACCACATTGATTCGTAATGCTCATTTTGCTCACTTTCCTGTGTTTCTGTTTCAGCTTTGCTTGCTATCAATGAGTCAAGGGCCTCTGTTTATGCTTATTACGTTCTTCGTACAATTTCATACATTATAAGCCAAGGGAGTATTTTCTGCATTTCTGTTGCTTATGTGGTAAGAGTTCTTCCTCAATGCTAATTAACAAAAAAAATTACAACCAGTGTGGGGTTATTTGAAATCACATTTTCCCTCTCTGGCAGGCAGATGTTGTCGAAGAAGATAAGAGGGCAGCATTATTCAGTTGGATTACCGGCATCTTTTCTTTCTCACATGTATTGGGAAATGTCCTTGCACGTTTTCTGCCTGAAGATTACATTTTTGAGGTATGTTGGTGCTGTGACTTTTGGCATTTGCTTATGGTGAATCTCTTGATCATCCTTATATTTTTTTAATCCTCCTAATAATGCTTTTTGTTTCAGGTTTCAATTGCTCTGTTAATCTTTTGTCCGATTTACGTGCACCTGTTTCTGGTTGAGACAGTCCAATCAACTCCAAGACATCGCCAACATGCTCCTTGGTTGCACAAGGCACTGAAGATTGTCAAGGAACGATACAATTCAATGAGGCTTGCAGCAACTATTGTTGTAAGCAGGTGCTTTTATCTGCAAACCATCAGTGATGCTTTTAGTGCCCAGTCCCAACTAAATTTTGCCAGATCTTTGTATATATTTCTGTTCTTCCCTTAAAGCTTCAGTATAACATCACTAATGTGCTCTGTTTTACTCTGCAGTCCAACACTCAAGGGCATGTCACTGGTTTCCTTCTTTTTTGAGTTGGGAATGTCCGGCATCACCGGTGTCTTACTGGTACTCATTGATGAAGCCAGATGCAGATAAATATATATATATATATATATATATATGTATATCAAAATAATAATTATGGGATCCACTGACAAGGAGAAGAGTTTTGTTTCTTTTGAAAAGGAAAGAAGTTGATTCTTTTATCTTCAAAACTGCTTTCTCTTTTTGCAAATCGTTTTGACAAAATTGTTGCATGGAAAATTATGTGAACAAGTCTGAAAAATGAAAATGCCATTATTCTTGTTATCTGTTGATAATGGGCCAAATTTTTTCTAAAATGATTTTATATCTTAAAACTCTTGTTTTGTTTTTGTTTTTGGTTTTTTTTACCGAATACTTTGCAAATTGATGTATATGACTGAAAAATTATGGTGACTTGCAATTGTTATTCAAGTTCCTTTGCTACCTCCGCAGTACTACCTGAAGGCAGCCTTTGGTTTCAACAAAAATCAATTTTCAGAAATTCTGATGATGGTGGGAATAGGATCAATTGTTTCCCAGGTATTCTTTCTAAAAATCATTTTCTTTTCTTTTGTTACTTTAACAGAAGGAGCCCATTAACTCTACTTTTTGAAATGTTATTTAAATCTAGAGTTTCTCTACTCACCATATGTTTCTTATCATGGCATTGTTTCAAGATTCTGATTCTTCCTCTCGTCAATCCATTAGTTGGAGAGAAAGTGATACTTTGCACAGCCTTACTTTCATCAATTGCTTATGTGAGTTGTCCTTTATTTACTTAATTTAAGCCATTGCAGCTCTGGACTTAATCATAGTTGAAAGTATGTATAAATTTTATCTCATGGAAGTGTTTTTATTTTTTTATTTTTTTAATGCACAGGCATTGTTTTATGGCTTGGCATGGGCTTCTTGGGTATGTACTCTTATATACTTAAATAAATGTGTAGTTAACATCAGTTTTGAAACTACATTCTGGGTAATTACATGTTCCACCGTTAAACTTCCTCCTAAAATTTCACGTTAGTCTCTCATTTTTAGTTGAGACAACCTATATCATTATTGTAATTTAGGTTCTAATTTCTTGCAAAAAATACAAGAAAATTTTCTCGTGAAAGTTGCTATGTGTTATAACTTTCTCTCAGAAAAATTATCTTAACCAAATGCATACTAAAAAAATAAATTTTCATTTCACTTTCACTTTCCATCACATTTTTCAATGTAATCAAACGGACTGACAATATCAAGACGGAAAGCCAGGACTCCTGTTTCTATTTTGCCTTTATTTTCACATGCAGTGTATATCGATAAAGCAAAATAACGAACATGAACGGATTTCTTGCAAGATTAATTTTCTTACCGCTAGATAGAGACAATGGGTTGTCTAGTGATAAAAAAATCTAGTAAAAAATTCCCTTTTATGTATAGAATTACTCTTTTGGTAGTATCTGTACACACGTCGTATTGCATCATCTTACTGTTGTTGACTGGAAATCATTGAAAACACAGGTACCATATCTAAGCGCTTCATTTGGAGTCATCTATGTCCTTGTCAAACCTGCTGTAAGTACTAGTCTCCCATGAATATATATACATTTTGTCCGACGATAATGTTTGGAAAAATCTATATTATTCACCATAGTCAATTTTAATGTTCATTCTTTTTCTTTTTCCCATTTAATTTTTCTGATTTGACAGACTTATGCTATTATATCAAGAGCATCAAGTTCAGCTGATCAGGTTTGTGGAGAAATATGGTTGTCTTTAAATTGATTCAACAATTATTAAATAGTTTGCCAACAGCTGAAAAGCCAAGGCAAAACTCCACTGTTAATAATTGAGAATTTAACTTCTCTTGAATCATGAGGCATTGTTTGGATCTTGGATTTGTGGAGGGAAAATAAGTTGCTGTAAATTCTTTAAATCCAAATAAACTCCTCTTTCCAATTTTAGTTTGTTTGTCCTTGCTTGACTTTTGTGTTTTATTAAACAAATTTCCATTTTTACCATCTTTGAGCACTTGTATCGCCTTCTAAGTTCAATTCAATCACAGGGAAAAGCACAAGCATTTATCGCTGGTGTGCAATCAATTGCAGATTTGTTATCACCACTTGCAATGAGTCCACTGACCTGTGAGTTTTGAGTATTTTGTTTGTGTCTATTTGAACAACAAAATTGTTTCTTTTAATTTGCTTAACCGTGTGTGACTTTCTTGTTTTCCCCCAGCTTGGTTTTTGTCCAGCGATGCGCCTTTCAACTGCAAAGGTTTCAGTATTGTCTTGGCATCTTCATGCATGGTAAATCCCCTCTCTCTCTCTCTCTCTCTCTCTCTCTCTTGCAAATATTCATGGGAAATTTTTTGAGAAGCCCGACAATGCGATCCCACAAAAAGATTCCTTAACAAAAATCTCACACGGCACCCAATGATTGTAATACCCTTATTTTGTTAAAACATGAATTGTGTGCATAATAGGCGAAGTGAGACGATTACTTTTTTTTTAATTTTATACTTTGTTCAAAATTTTAAATTTTCATAACTTTCTTTCCATGCATCAATTTTTTGTTACATTTTTTTTCTGGTAACCTATTCTAGGAGATGTATCAAACAAGATTTTTACATTCCATATGAGATTTTGTTAAAACAAAAGCAAGAATTTTCTCACTTTTAAGGAAAAGAATAAAAATTCACAAAAACTAAGAAATTTCTCAAATTTTGAAACAAAGAAAAATTGTGAAATTTCTCACTTTTGAAAAAATGGCGATGCTGAGTGCTTAAATGAGGGCAACTCAATTCGAAAATTTTAAGAAGGTACTTAAGCTACCAATAATCGAAGTCAATGGGATCTCACGAGCCATTATTGAATTGCAAATGTTCAATTATTTCAGGTGATATCTCTATGTTGCGCTTGCTTGCTAAAGCATGAAAAGCCATCAAAGAATGTCTTGGTAGACGATGGAGAAAATATCGAAGCACCACTTCTATCAAAAAATTAACTTTTGATGTTGGTATGATTGGCAGTTGTTTTTTTATGTATGTATCCTTCTTCTAGGTTGATCATAGTGTGTAAATTTTGGTGTTCATAATTGTATCTAATGAATGTAAATCTATTAAACATAAAACTGTGCCATAGCCAATGGCTTTTCCACTAATGAAGAATGATAATCAAATCTTTCTTAAATGTGTACTCCAATTTTATAGGTCCTCGAGATTTTATTTGCCTTTGTTGCTCTTTGATAGCACAATATTTGTGCTAGATTGATCCCAAGGATCACAAAATGGCTGGGTGAGTGCTGCATTTCCGGCAATCGGACATAGTTTATTAGTCCCTTATAGAAAAAATAAATTGTGATCAGGATTTGATATGTATGTCAAATTCATTTTGGATGTGATTTACACTGCACTAAGTTTAAATCTAAATCATAAATTCAGATTTTGGACATTTAGCTTTTGTTTGTTATAAGCCAAAATAGGGTGTTTTTGCTAAAATAATTACAAAAAGACAAAATAAATTTTTTAATCCAATAAGATAAAGCGTCACATCTAAATAATAATCATTTTATTTCATCTCTTACAAATATCAAAAAAGTTAAAAAATTTATTCTAAAAGAGATTTTTTTATCTTAAATTAAAATCGTTAAAAAATCAAATTACGAACCTCCATCTCAAATGAATTCTTATTTATATATATATATATATATATATTTTTAAAGTACATAAACATATTCCATCATTAGTAATAATTGTGTTTTCTGAACTTCTCCTAACACTACAAGTTAGTACATAAAGGCGAGGCCCGAATTCGCTAAAATCATGATGTTAAGTCAACTCCGAAGTAAAGATTCCATTAGGTCATGTGTGCTTTCATGATTGAGCAATGGTAGAGGGCCACAAAAAGTATGATTCAAATGGTTTAAAATTGTCAAAATGACGTCATTTTGTGGCCCTCAAACATTTTTCTTCATGATTTATACAAAATGATTCTTATCTCACACAATTAAATTGGATAATCATTGCAAAAAAAGTGATTTAGGCCAAGTTTGGCATATACATAATAGTTTATCGTTTTATTTTTTTATTTTTTTTATCACATCACCTTTTTATTTTTCTGTACATCTTTTCATAAAAAGACAAAAAATGTACTTATTTAGGTCATCTAAAACAACTCCTTAGTGATTTAGTGATAGTTTGGGGTGTCCTAAATAAGTGCACTTTTTAACTTTTTAGACTAAAAAGTTGAGAAAAAAAATATGGTTGTTTAGGTTAACTTTTTAATTTTTTATGGAAAAATATGTATTAAAAAATTATATAAATTAGTGTGTAGGAGAATATTAAGAGTGTGAGTTGTACGGCCGTACTATCTGCTTAGCTGAATTGATGTTAAGAAATGATTGGCTACTTTTCAGGCATTGTATTGGACGGTGCTGTTCGGCCTATGGGGGCCATCACGGGTCCCGTTTTGATAATCTGAACCGTTCAATGTGTAAAACTCGCCGAGTACTATATGTTTGTAGAAAATTACGTTGATCGGATATCGATAGTTGTTTGATTAGATTAGTTTTTTTTTCAACCGTTAACTATAACACCATTTTTTTTATACAAAACTAATTTGATCAATGTAGTTAGCGATATCCGATCAATGTAATTTTTTACAGACATATAGCAATCGATGTGTTTTACACATTAACGATTCAGATTATCAAAACGAGACCCGTGATGAACTCCCACGGGCTGAACAACAGTGTTAAAATTGCACCAAAACTATGCAATTTTTCTAAAAAAACGCAGCCACATATCTGAACCGGTCAGATCTGTCTTGTAATTTTGTGTGTAACATTAATTTTTTAATATATTTTTTATAAATAGTGATAACTTTTTAATTTTTTAAATAATTTTTTAACTTTTTATCTTTGTTTTGACATGTCAAACTAGGCCTTACTACTTGTACGGGGAGGAAATAATTCTCCTCGTATAATCCTGTTGACTAAGTCCACGCCCTTCGTACGACGTCGCTTTGTCACCTGAAAACACAAACGTGAGCTAGCCGGCGGGTGTGTGCCGGAAACCTCTCCGATGCCTAAGTCAGAAAACTTGACAAATAGACAAAGTTCTATGTTCTCAGAAAAAAGTGTTCAATTTACCCCCTCCAAGGTGGTGCTTGGGAGCTTTTATAAGTTTCCTGTGGCACAATTCTAGTAGGACTTGTATTTCTCCATGCAGAGTCCTCCTAGGATTCATACTCCTAAGGATAATGCTTATCCTTTTACATCCTCCCCCACTGCTTAAACCAAGTGGGATGGCTTTCACCTTGGCCGAACTACACCGAAATAATACTGGCTATGCTGAGCCACAGAGTAGGCCGAACTATCCTTAGTTCGGTTTTCTCCCGTTTAACCATGGTATGCTAAGACCAAGCTTCTGAGTAGCAAGCTCCGACCGATCTAACCATAATACTCCGCGACCGGACTAACTTTGGTAATGAACGAACCGTAAGGCCGAACTAACTTCACGTTACCTCCAGACCGGAGTAGCTTTACACCATCTTGGGCCGAAGCAATTACACCTCTCCTAACCGGAGTAACTATGCTTCTTCTGGGCCGGAATATTATTACGGCCTTTTACTGAGTCCTTCACACTTAGGGCCATAAAGTCCATCTTACAGCTCGGTCCAATTTTCTCCAAAAATTACCCTCTCACTACTGTAAATTTTTTCTTTTAAAAGCTAATATAACATAGAAGCGCTTGTTATGCTATTTTTGTTTATAAAATTAATTAATTAAATTAGTTGTCTTGTGTGGATCAATATAAAATCTACTCTACAAGTAATTCCATGATTTAGAATCTCGTGGGACATGAAACCAACTTTTTAGATGTTTTTAAAGATTATTTTTCGTCTTTATTTGTCATTTTTAATTAACATTTTTAAATAAAACATTTTAAGATTTAATAAAAGCTGGTTGCAAGCAATCCTTTGCTTTTTAGGATTTAAGTCCTTTCCTTTTCTCTGTCTCTCCATTTTTGGTAGAAAGAAAATATCACAACCTTTATGATAATGTGAAAGTATTTGAAAACCTTCATTCCAAAGATTTTAGCCTTATTTGATTTGTGTTTTGAGATATTATTTTAAAAATAATTTTTTGAAGAGAGTTTAGAAAATTTAAAATTTTATTTGGTTGTATATTTTGAAAATTTAAAAAAAATATTTTAGCCTTATTTGAATTTTTTTTTTTTTAAGTTGAATAGATGGATGTGAGGGAAAAAGTGATAGAGAATGAGAGAAGAGAGAGAAAAAGTAATTGATGATGTGTAGCAGAGTGATTTTGAATTTTTTTTTTTTTGAATTTTTTCTCAACAAAACATGTTTTTAAAATTTTTTATTCACAAACATGTTTTGAGAGACAAAACCAAACATATGCTCAGGGATAGACCTAGAGGGGACAACAGGGGGCGATTGCCCCTTTATGATTTCAAAAATTCCATTTATTATAGTAGTACTTATTACAGTTCTCCACATATTATAAAGACTCACTCCTTATTTGTTTTTTGTTTATTTATTTACAAATTTTAAGTGTTTATCACTCTATCACTCTATATGTATGAAATATAGGATCAAAATATAACATTAAAAAAATGGACAAGATTTTATAAAAGAAATTAATTTCTTATAACTAGTGTTAATTAGAATTCCTAGTTTGTAAAGTAAAAGGTATCAGTTAAATACTTAATTACGTTCATTGAGAAATATCAAAGATATTTTTAACAAATAAAATTATTGAAAAATCCAATCTAAAGAGGGTATAAGCCATTAGGTCTAGTAAGTATTTTTTGTTGGTGAAAAGTCCACCCTTTGTGAAATAGTTTGGTGAGAAGTCATTTTAGTTGTTTTGAAAGACATTTTGGTTCCAATTTTATCCCTTAATTTATCTATTGACTTTTTTTTTTTATCTATTCAATTTTTTTGATTATCTATTTAAATTTATATCTATTTGTCCAAATTATTTTCTATCTGGTCAAATTAATTTTTTTGTCTATTTAATTTTTTAATTATCTATTCAAATATTTTTCCTTATCTATTCAATTTTTTTTATCTGTTTAATTTTTTTTTTTCACTATCTCTTCAAATATTTTCCTTATCTATTCAAATATCTATCGAAATAAATCTATCTGTTGAAATTTATCTATTCAAAAATTCTATCTATTCAAATTATCTGTTGAATATCATTTATATCCAAATTTTATTATTTGTTCAATTTTTTTTCTTGAATTATATTTTCAAATTATTTGTTGAAAATATGTGTCAAAACTTTTTTTCTTTATATGTTGCAATCAACAACAACAACAATAACAAAGAAAGAAAAAATAGATAATCAGAATAAGCAAACAGAGAAACTTGAACAAATCATATCCACAACAATCTATTTGTTGAAATTTGAAGATGGATGCAAAACGAATCAAAGAGTAGTTAGAGGACGACCAGATCTGAAGAACTAAAAAAAATATCTGTAATAATATTTATAGATACCCCATTTTTGACTGCCCTTACGACTTGGGCACCATCACTTGTACACTCAATGATGAATGTATATGCTTGTCAAGTGCTTGAAAGTCCTCAACGGAATGCCATAATTTAGGATCTCGTGGGACATGAAACCAACTTTTTAGATGTTTTTAAAGATTTTTTTTCGTCTTTACTTGTCATTTTTAATTAACATTTTTAAATAAAACTTTCTAAGATTTAATAAAAGCTAGTTCCAAGCAACCCTTTGCTTTTTAGGATTTAAGTCCTTTTCTTTTCTCTGTCTCTCTATTTTTGGTAGGAAGAAAATATCACAACCTTTATGATAATGTGAAAGTAGTTGAAAACCTTCATTCTAAAGATTTTAGCCTTATTTGATTTGTGTTTTGAGATATTATTTTAAAAATAATTTTTTGAAGAGAGCTTAGAAAATTTAAAATTTTATTTGGTTGGATATTTTGAAAATAGCTTTAGAGTTTGGGATGATTTGAATTTTTTTTTTTTTGTTTAAGTTGAATAGATGGATGTGAGAGAAAAAGTGATAGAGAATGAGAGAAGAGAGACAAAAAGTAATTGATTGATGTGTAGCAGAGTGATTTTGAATTTTTTAAAATTTTTTGAAATTTTTTTTTCAACAAAACATGTTTTTGGAATTTTTTATTCAC